GAGTGGAAATAGTGTAGTCAACAAATAATGTCTGAATGAATGTATTTGCGGATGATCTGCAAAGATTCTTCAGTAAATTAATTATGAGTAATTATAAATGACATTAGCTACTTAATTAATTATGAGAATTAAGTACTGGTAAATTTGAGGCTTACCAGCAATAAATTTTAATCATCTCTGTTCTCCTTCTCTATTCCTAATTTTCAAATTAAAAGGCTACTAAAAGACTTACTCAATGAAAGTGTCACTTCTATGGAATTTGGACTTCGAGTTGAATCTAAGACTAGTCTTCTAGTAGCAAAGCATTACCGTACTAATGTTGCTCAAACAATTTATTATCAGTACTTGATACATTCCAAAAAAGTATTACAACGAAATACAACCGAATTATAAACTAACTTACATAACACCGACCTAAGCCCGGTTAGCTCAGTCGGTAGAGCACCAGACTCTTAATCTGGCTGTCGCGGGTTCGAGCCCCGCATCGGGCTACGCTCACTTTTACGTCCTTCGTGATACAAAAAATCTTATCATCATGTCTTTACATGACTGTTCCGACTATACCTTACATACGACATTTGACAGCCTCATACTGTAGTCTTGATGGGTCAACATTGCATTCGGTTTCAGGCGTGCATAGAAGTCAGAGTTTTGCGTATTTGAACATTAAAAGTATGGTAGAACTACATTATTCAAAATCTTAAATGAAGTATTGCGAGAAGTAATATTATTTCATATATATCTTAAATGCAATGTTTGTTGATCTTAATATTAGCAACGAATAAATTGCCTTTACTCTGGCACTGTAAACACAGAAAGCCTTGTTGCTTCTGGAAAAAATCCTTCAGACTTCTTTACTTCTCAACAACTCACAAACAAAAACGTGACAACGAACTACTAAACCAAACCATTTAATGTCTCAAAGTAATACTCGAAAGTATACGAGATACAATACGAATCACCAAGTATTGTTTCACATGAAAACTAAAAACTGAGAAAGACGAAAAATCACAACCACATATGAATGAATATACTTCTCACTAACACAAATACATATCACCTCGAAATCACTGAAACTAAAATCAACATATATGAATGATATGAAATAGCATACATACAGTACCAATTAAAATAAGTTACTGAGTCCAGTAATTGATAATGAATACTGAAAATCCCAATCATGAATCTCCAGTTATGTAAATAAAGGATGCTAATGCTACAGAAGTGACTTTCATTTCCTGACTACGATCATTTCCTATTTTTTATACTGAACTGAATACAGAAAACAAGTTAATACTTTTACGGCAGTAAAACTGCAAAAATTCACATCCAGTTACAACGCCAAGAATCAGAAAGTAAAGAGCAGCAAATTTTAGCATGACATTCGTTGGAAGCTTAATTTTTTGAAAAAAGCGCTTCGCTAATTGATTCTTCCCTCAGGTCCGAGCAGCAAGGCATCGACTGCAAGCTTTTAATGTAAAACCAATATTCTTGACTTACCCATCTGCAAAAGTAGTCTAAATTCACTCAGCCATGCTAAAGATTTCAAATAGATAATATTTTGAACTGAAATAAAGCATACAAGCAAAAAAATAGCCCTTAATAGTATTATCAATTAATATAATTGGAAGTAAGTTTTCTAACAGCTTTCTAAGGGATTAAAATAAATATTTATGTCATTTGCATTAAGCTCTCACGTCACATGCATTATGCGTTCTATGAAGAATAGGAAATGATAAGCTGGCCGTTATTTTCATGATTTATATCCTTCAGACAAATTTATTATTCTTCGTTCACCTTACCATTCCCCCAGTAATTAACCTTTAACTGACAAATGAACTAGATTAGATCATGCTAACTTCGTCCTAGCAAAAATTACTACTCATCTTTAACAATGTTGTCGGTAAAAATTTAGATTTTTCCGTTTTCCTTTCATTCAAAATCCAAAAAAGTAAAATACAACTTACCCATACGTGAGAGAATCATGTGGTGAAATATTCAGTCTGTTTAGATGAATTTTCAAAATTTTCTTGAAATTCTCATGAACACGTAAGAACAACTCCTGCAACAAACATGTACAATACTTAACATCAATTACTAGATAATTTAACTGTTTTCAGACTGTAGTTAAGCAGTACCTTGATCATACTTTCCGGCATGATACCCGTTAGCCCATTGTAAAACTTCCCGAGCTGTCGACACATATGTTGGAATGTAGGCGATGGAATAGAACCTTTGACTTCCCACTTCAACATTAATACTTTAATTTACTGACATATGTTACGTTTTTCTTAACTAAATTATAGCATACAGAAAATATATATAATAATAATAATAATAATTGTGATCATAATAATAATAATTAACAATATATATATTTGTATATAATACCTACAGAAAGTTCACATAAAACAAGTCGAATTCACATAATTCAAACGAAACTATAATGAATACAAATATTTTACTGTTTGAAGTTGCACATCCAGATGATGATCAATCACTGTAATAAGCTTGTTCACAATTTCTTGCGCATGGTCACTGTAATCCTGGTAATTCAAACAATTTTTATAAATCGACTGTAGGATTAATTATAATATGCTTCACCAAATATTAAATTCAAATATCATTTTCGATGAATGAAAAGAGAAAAACACATCTTTTTGCATAAAAATTTTGATTTGAGATGTCTGGTAATGACAATGAAGGGATGAGATAACAAAATATTTAATATATTTTTAGTGAATAAAGAACTTACTCGAACTAATTGATCAATATGTCGCAGCAAAGGCAGCTTGTCAGCAGGAAGTTTTTCTTGAAATGCGTCTCGAATAAATGGTACGAATCGAAGAACTAATTGAAGACATCTTGAAGAAAGAGCTGTAAAAACGTTAATAACTGTACAATAAAGCTTAATCCAGGAAGGAGTATATATAAAGTAGATTTAAATGATTTGATTTTTCGTTGTAATTTGCGATTTCGCATCAGCTTTCTTTTCGATATAAATCTATTAAAAAAGTGAGATAATTAAAGACATGAGGAATGAAATGAATAGAAATATATGAAAATATATGTGAATATGAATTAGCTGCCACAAAAAATGATCAAATTACATTAACTTTTCAAAAAGTTTTCAATGTGTATTTTTTTTTCATAATTAAAACATATCTCATCAATTTTTTGAGATATTCCTTTGATGTCAAATAACTTTTAAAAAATACATTTCATAAACAATGAAAAATACAGTGCACAAAACAGTAAAAAAAGTAATTTTGTGAATCAGTGAAAGACTGATAATTTGTTCTTAAAGTAATGTACAAACAGAGGCAAAACTGATGACTTAATGAAGAAAATCGTATGTTTTAAAAAATAATTTAGTTATTTTTGTGTTTAGTTCTAAGCTAAGACTGATATTTAAACAAGTTGCTTAAAACGAAAATTATTGGAATAACAATTCTTCTTATAAATAAACATACCCAAATGCCTGACACTGATCGACTTAAGACCGATCAGTTGTAAAGCACCTGCTCCAAGAATTAGCTGACAACTGCGACTATTGTAATTTTTTAATAGTTCCACAACATGCATCAGAAGTTCAGAGGAATATTCTGGAAGCACTTCTAAAGCATCACAATATTGAGCGATCGTTTGCAGCAGAATAAAGACTGTCCTGATATTATGTAACAAGTAATAAAAGTTCAAATAGAAAAAAAAGACAGAGATTTCAAACTTTTGAAGTAAAATTTATATAAAACCTGTTTTTATTTATTAAAAAGACAAATTAACAGCAAAGAATCAAAAACAAACCCTACGGCTACATATGACTCTTTTCCAACTATTAAATTCGGCTTTGAAGGAGCTACATGTTCCTGTTCTGACAATCCTACATCCGTCAAACGATTTTTCTGTAACCATAGATCAGCAAGTCGTTGAAAGTGTTCCGGTACTTCATTGACACGCCAAGTTTCCGTATCCAAGATACTACTGTATAATGACCATTGCTCATTGGTGACATTTAAAATTTTCTTCTTTTTGTGAGTCACATTTTTGATTATGATTCTATTATCTTAATTCAACTTTCCTGATTTTGCCTACAAAATTACAGGTCTAGCTATTTTTATTTATACTCACAAAATGCATGTCCAATAGTTCGAAAAACCCCTTCATAATTAAAAAATTATAAATTCTGTAAACAAAAGCACCTGAGTTTATTTTTTCGATCTTCATGAAACTTCTTGATAAAATGATTGCTTTGCTGAAGAACACATATTTCTAAAGGGTTAGAAAATTTTTTTTCGGTGCCAATTAACGTATCGCAGTTATTAACAAATTCCCGGATAGCACGTAAAACATTGTCAAATTCTGACAAGGATAATCGTTCAAGAAAACCATCCTGCAAATATAAGCAGATTCATTACAGTAATATGAGCAAAAAGCTTAACTCATCCAAAAATCGAACAAAATGATGTAAAAAATTTAAAAGCATAAATTTTGTTGAAAAAAAAGGTCGTCTTACTTACGCTTAATTATTTATAATAAATTTCTCAAATAATCGGTAGTAAACTCACTATATAAAAAAGTTTTTCATAATAATACTACGAAGAGAAGATACCTTCGACCTTGCAACTAAAAGACGAGAGCTGCGTTCTTGAGCCGAATATGCTGCGTGTTCTGTGAGCAACGCTACTGACAACTTTATCTTCAAATGTAAGACAGAAAAATAAATATTAAGTACTGATTGTTTGGATAACTACAAAGCCTGAAGAATCATATTTTTTTAAAACTTCTCTGATTAAAAAAGTAGACCAAAACCTCCATCAAAAACAAACGTTTTAATCTAAAAAAGTCCTCGAAGATTTCATGAATACTAGAAAAAACTTCTTAGCTGTCATAGCAGCTTTACAAAATATCATTAAGACAAAATAATTACCTGGCTGATATGTCGACACGGCATTGACAAAAAAGCTGCAGGAGTTGATGCTGCTGGTGCTGTCAGTATTGTATTTAACGTATTACTCTCCGATAGAAAATCACTGTCTTGTTCATTTGACGGTACATGTTGATTCATGTCTAGCAACTTTTCAGCATCACCTATACCTTGTTCTACATCTAACTCTGGATTACAGACAGAAGTTTTCGTTCCTGACGCTATTCCCTCCATTACATTTTTCTTTTCTGCTTTTAATTCTGTAGCTGTTTTTTCGAAATTTTCACAAGCACACGTTTCCACTAAAGTTGAAGGCTCATTTGCTGGATTCGACGAAATCTTCATATCGCTAGACTCTTGAGTTAAATCCTTTCTGAATGGAGTGAATAACAAGTTATCGAATAGGAAATCTACGCAGACTGAAGTGTTATGATTTTCAAAAAAGGAACCAGGGTCATGTAAAACTATATAATTTACCAAAAACTTACTCAACAATAACTTCCTGGTTTTTCTTCGACCTTATAGATAGAACTTGCAAAAAATGATCAGTATTATCAAGGATAATTTCTTGTATGCTTTGCACTCTACAGCACATTAAATAAAATACGTGAAGAACATGTCGTAAGGTAGTGAACCATTGGTCAAAATTTAATCTTCGCATTTGGGTACACAAATTACCAAGTGAGGGATCAAACTCTGTAAGTCCATCGTCACTAACACTTTGCACAACATGTGCTTTAATGATCTAAAACAGAAAATTACAATTAAAACATAGCAAATGAGCACAAAACTCTTCTCCAACTGGTATTTGTATTGCACTGCGCGAAATATTACTTTCCATCATAATAAAAACAACTACCAATGTACAAAGTTAGCATACCTGTCTCAGCAAATTTTTTAATGTGATAACAATTTCTTGCTGCAAAACGTGAATAAATCGGTATTCCTTCACTTGCAATAAACCGATCACGATTGGATTCAGTTGTCCCTGCACAATAAGTTAAAATGCACATTGAAAAACCAATCATAAGATAACAATAAACAAACTTTATCATTTTCGGTTAAATCAAATACAACAAGCCAACAAGCAACATAGATTGAAAAATATTCCTAAAAAACATACTGTATTTTGAAAGTAATGTTATTCCCACAATTTCGATTTATATATCCCGCAATCTCAATATTTTTTTAAATCTTCAAATTCAAGAACTTTGCAATTTACTCTCACTACATCCCTTCTCTAAATTGTTAAAATCCCTCTAGTTCTTGGAGCAATGTCACATACCTCTTGATAAGCAACATCATTTTCACTTTCACACGGTCGACTAAGTTCCTTTTGTACTAAAGTTACAAATTCTTCATAAAGCATTCTTGCAATTACTCTATGCAGTTCATGTAACTGTACATCCAAATGTCTGTAATCGAAACTAAAGTTGTTTTTCCATACTCTAAGAATATTAAACACAAATTAACAGTGAATCAAATTAACAGCTTTTAACAGCTAAAAGAATTAATTTTGATCTCTAAAGCAAAATTACATTTTATTACAAACTTAATGACGCTTTGTGCGTAGTAAAATTACAGCATGGTGTAGGCACTAAATTAGTAAAAATATAAAATGAATTTTTGAAAAGCTGACCTAAAACAGATAACACCTCGCAATTCGTTATTTAAAACATCTTGAGCTGTGTCAATGCATTCTAGAGCCTTTGGATAATCGTTCTGATTTAATAGCGTCTGAACAGTTAGCTGAGCATCTCGAAGGCAGGCTATATCCTGGAATACAGCAGTAGCACATAATGTAGACGCAAAATTTTTAACTTTCTCCTAAAGGGAATAAAGTTAATTGAGCTTTTATGAAAACTTTTTAAAACACAAAAATTCAAAGGTTCATAACCTGATTAACTCTGTGAATTTTGATCTTTTCAAAGGACGCGATACACTTCATTAAAGAACGTGGATGGATAACAAATTATAAAAAGTGAATTCAAAAATATCAAATTATATTAGATAAACTTCATTTTATTTCACATCAGTTCAAGTAAAATACTTTCAAATGGAACCAAATGAAAATAAAATTTTTTAATGCAGATACAGATTTGCGATTCTTCAAATGGGTGCTTTACATCAATTAGTTTCGGCCTGCTAAATATATTTTGAATATTTGTTGCAGTTCTGAAAAATAATATAAAGTGCAGAAACTCACACGCAACTTATCCAATAATTTTTTGTGCTGCTTGCGCACCTCGAATATGTTGGTAATACTTTTTATTCGATGATATAACTGATTATCCACTTCTTGTAAACTTTTCCTTTAAAAAAACTGCATAAATGATGAACTGAATTTGTCACAATTGACAGCAAAGTTTAAAAGAAATTATAAACTTATTTCAGATTTGCGTATTTGCATAAGCAAAAACACTAGTTTCATTAGATCTGATGCATTAAACAAAAATTTGAAAAATAAATTATGATCATGGATGAAACATTACCAAACTTTATTCGATCAAAAGTGAATTCATAATTACTTTTAATTTTGTTTCGCTACATCTTAAACCGTCCTTTTATAAAAAACTGATTAAAACTAACCTGATTAGTGCTACCTTCCCTAAAGCATCAGCTAATTCGCTATTTAAACTACCACATGATATCACTGTTTTCCAAAAAGCATTAGATTTTAAAGCCAGCTGATTGTTTAGTCTCGTATCGACCAGGTCATGATAAAATTCAAGACGCTTCTGTAGACCGTCATAAGGTCTAAAATAGCGACCATTCGCTGCTTCGTATGTTTTACACAACTGAAAACTACGCACATCAAAAAGACAATTTAAAAAAAGAAATAAAAAAAACCACAAATTAAAGATATTCCGTCAGGTTTTACAATCGAGTAATATACTATGCATATGAAGACATCATTTATGAAACACATGAATTTGTAAATGAAAATCTGAATTATAAGGTTATTCTATAATGGAAAGAATAATGTAGATTTATAATAAATAATAATAAAAACTACTTCAATTGAATTACTCGAGCTGCTGGGTGTTAGTGATACGTCACTAGCGCATCGGTGGTGATCGAGAAAGGCCGTAGATAGTTTACCGTTGACATATAAACTATCAGTCTCTCCATTAACTGGTTCTAAGAAAACTGCTTCAAAAGTTGTTGGATCGGCCAGTGAAAAATATGGATCAAGAAGGATCTTCAAATCGATACAGTTAATAACTTGATCAAGATTTTTGCTAGTTCACAATCCTCATTTCAAATGAATGCTACCAACTTAGTTTGCTCAACAGTACTATCAATTACAATAAAGATTGAAAATTTACCTAAATACACATCAAATTAAAAAATACAAAATTAAGAAGTGAAAAACACAAACTTTTGGTATATCTTCAGCATCAATACGCGTATCTTCTTCATGTCGTGCTAGCGTGCGCTGAAGCTCACATTTTGCTTTCATACATCTTTTGTACTTCTAAAAAAAGCTCACAATCAGCTTTATAAAAAGGTAACAATCAATTATTGCCATAAAGGATACAAAAAAAATTGACACAAGAGAAAATGAAACAAACTTTGGTAGTAGTGTCAAGATACTTCTTGAAATGGTCTTCCAATATAGTTGGTAAAGATGGTGTTGGTGGTATACGATTTTTGGGTACGAAGGAATCACCCCAATGTCTAGTGAAGAATGTTTGTATTTCAGTTCTAGAACGTTTAGGGTCCAACAATACCGATGAAAGATTTTGAGTGAAACTGCAACAAACAAAATGAAAGAATCACATTGCATAACATCAGTGAATCTCATTCTTCATAATATTAAAAAGAAGTATTTAGTAATATATCCGAAAATATTTATTACCTTTCAGTGCTTTTTATTTACATCTTTCTTACTGCTAGACATAATATCAATTCCAATATCAATATCAATATTACAATTTAATTTTATACTTCGGAAAACGAGTGAAAATATGTATGTATATATTAACATCTATGCACGAATACTTGTAGCCAAGAAATGAAATACTCACTACTTCATGAGATCTACTTACGAATTAAGAACTGTTCATACAATTTTAATACATACTTTTTCAATTTTAGTGCAAAATAAATCACAAATCTTTCTTTCTTGTAAAAATATTCTTTTCTGACCTTTAAGGTTATTTATTAAATGTCATATTACCATGTGGTCTACTAGCTATGATCAATGATACTTTTGACATTTAATAATCAAACTTTTTAGTAAAGTAAAAGAAAACAGATCATGACTGAACGAAAGAATAACTATTTTATACGAATACTTTCAGTACAAATGCAATTGCACATTGAGTTCATATCGTTTATCCAATCAACTATAATAATACTTTCTTTTTTAATTCCTAAAATACTTTAAGCATTGTAAGTTATATATTTAAAAAGTCATAACACATATGTTTCAAGTGAAAAATTAGCTGCAAAGTATTAATAATACTTTCTGCTCATTCTTATGCTTGCTTACTCTTTCCACTATTCATTCATTTTACTGTACTATTTTAATTTGTCTGCTTTTACAAAAATTCAACAAAATGTATCGATCTACAAACAGTAAAAACTTAAAATGTTTATTGTATTTTTAAAAATATGGCTAACTTTTCTGGAATATTTAACGTAATTAAATATTTCTGAATACAATAATCAAGAATAAATTTTTAATTCTTATTCTTACATTGCATTAACAATTATGAATAACCTTACTGAATGCACCTCTTTCAATTTTCTTACTACTAAGCAAGCTAAATTAAATAAAATAACTAATCGTACTAAACAAATTAAATGCTTTCTTTTATTATTTGATTTGTTTCCTTGCTAGAATCAATCCTATCCTCGTGCACCACACAATCACCCTTTTCAATTTTTGCCTTTTTTTCACGTAAAAAAAGTGATGCATTGTTATCCTATAAGTAAAAAAAAATAAATCATCAATGAAACGACGAAAAAATAATTTCGATTCTTTCTCAATTTTCATTTCAATATATAACCTCCATTATTCTTCACACATTTCATGTTTGGTAAATGAATCTCATACAATTTACCACAATTATCCTTACTATTGCATTTTGTTAACTCGGTTGCAAAGCATGACTTCATTCTTTAATTTCTAATTTTAATTCTTTTTATCCAACGACTTTTTATTGTAGCTATTACTTCCAATTATACAAACAATAACTGCAAAACAATAAAAAAATTAGCCATTTTATTGTCAATTAGCACTCACTTATTATACTACAGCTATTTAAGAAAGTACTGTAAACTTGAGTATTTTTTCAGCCTATTAGTCTCAAACTGATGTTTTTCTTTATCCAGTGCATCTTTTCCTCCGCTGACTACTTTTGAATAACTTTTATATGAATAAGTAAATCTAATGAACCCACACTTCTTGTACTCCTTCTGTCCGAAGTCTATAAAGAAATCCAATCTTCAGAATCTCATACATATATTCAAAACATAACCAGTTAAAATATACCCCCTCATCAGACAATTTAATCTGTGCGTCTTCTGTAATAACTCAGCAAGTCTCACAAGTAAGCTTCAGAATGATAGAAGTTGATTAAAGAATCTTTTTTCACGTTCATTGTTAACAAACTGATTTTCTGAAAAAAATGCCAGAAGTTGGAATGCAAGAACTATATGTATGTAACAGCAAATTATCTGAAAACGTTAACAAAAAACACAAAAACAGAATGTTAAATCTTAGGCGAAATATTTTTTTTTCAAACAATTACCACTTCTATTTCCAGATTACATCAACAACAATCAAAAGGATAACAAGTTGGTAAATAAAACTTATGAATCGATTCTGAAAACGACTAGGAAAAAATCTTTTCATGATTTAAGCAAAATGAATCAAACTTTAAGGAATCAACATCGTTCCAAAAGTGAAGATCTAAAGTGCAACTGCCTTACATCGGAATCCATCTTGATTGAGCATCAAAATTCGGATTATGATAGCTGTTGGCAGCAAACTTTATCTACTAAACTTCGATGTATAACTACATCAATGATGGAGTCAAAAACCGCACAAACTGAAGCAACTCATAGTTTGCAAACAACACCGCTTACTACATTAAATACACCACGTAGACCAAGACATAACTTGCTCAAGCAAGTTAGCTTTGATTTCGACCCGCTAAAAAAGAATACAACACTTACATGCCAAAGTCCACTACTAACTGTTGATAGCGAGAATTGTAAGAAAGACGAGAATCGACATCTAAGTGATATTCAACTTCTACGCCAAGTATACGATGAGTTACGACAGAAAATAAGTCAAGTGTAAGTTCATTCTATAAAGGTATATAAGCAAGTTTCACTATCAAGAAATTATACATGCTCCTGAATATTGTATACTTTTTCTGATTTTCCTTCACACACATATTCTCAGCGAACTTTAAACTTCCTCAACTATTTTGCAAATAGTTCACATGATCAAATGGTAATGAATACAATGAAGATCACGAAAGGAATTAGTTGGAAGGAATGCTTCCTTGGTGAAAGAATGCGTCGTTGGGGTTTCTGGTTTATCGTCACTTTCTTAGCTGCTATGACTATACGAGACGTTATCCTACTGGTATCACTTCATTTCAGCGTAAAATTTCAGGCAGCTAATGTCAAAAGATATAAAAAACTCTTTTAAAGAAATATAACGTGACTCAAGAAGTGAAATAACATAAAAACATTTACTTAGGTAATTGAATATATGGAATATCCGAAACAATCTGATATGAATATAATGTTTAACGAATCAATGTATATGCCAAATATTACATTTTGCATGTCAAAGCAACAAGCCTGGAGCCATTTTACCCTTAACGGTTCAGGTTCTGCAAGTGAATGGGATGAAAAAATTCAGGTAACTTATGGAAACTATTACTTTTATGCAATGACCAACGGAGACTAACAAAACAACGGACACAAAATCATAATGCTTGCAAATAGTTTGTTTAAAAGCAATAAAATTCTGAATTAAAAAGTATGGAATACATAACAACTTGCAATAATAAGTAAATCAAATTCATCATCATTTCTTTGGAAAGAAGTCGTGGCAAATTAGATTTTTAATCTAAACTGAATAACACGTGATTATTGTTCAGGAAGAGCTCAGAAAACTGAATTCTCGGGAAAAATTTTTGGGTGATAGCTGGGATTATAGATTAATCGTTGAAGCATATGAAGTTATAGCGACTCTGAACAGCATGGAACGTGAAACAACAGCACAAGGATCAGCCCGATCCATTAACTTTTTTCGAACTCATCCTCGACTTGAAACCAAACGAACAATGGTCAAGGTTTAGTGAACACTAACTTGATTATATAAAGCTATACTCAAATATGAATATCTTAAGAAAAAATTATTATATATAAGATATAAGCTGATTCTAATTAGGTTCAAATCTTAACGCTAGTAATTACATGGATATGTGGAAAAATAATAAAATCAAATCATACTATACGAAAACATCATGCATTACCATGATCAGACGTGGCTGAATGAAATCAAACAACGTGATATATCATTTGAAGAATTAACTCAGAAAGTTGGTTTTGAAACAATCAAACATTCTATACAAAGATTTCAAAGAACAACATTCGATGAAAGTTTGAAAATCAAAACTAGATTTCGAACGTCTTGGATTTCTACCATGGAGTTTTGTTTTCAACCATGGTTTGATACCAACAATTACTACGAAATAAGAGACCAGGTAAAAATACCTTCAATAATGATAATGACATACTTGTGATAATATCAACCAAACATACATGTGATATTATTTTAAAATAATTTATTTTTAACGCTTTGTTTAATTCCAGGGAAATTTCTTTACTATGCTTTTATCTCATAACGTTGATAACTTGGAAGGGATTGATATTGATTGTATGTCTGTAGATTTTCATGGACGACCCAGTTCACTATCACGATTTATGGAAGGTCAAGGCCGAGCACGAGATGGATTCAACGATGATGTAAACTTAATGATATCTCAAATATTCGATTTAATCGTTTTTATGTATGAAGCTTTAAACTTTAACAGTGCTACATACTAGTGACCTAAGTTAAACCAAATACACTTTGTTAACTAATCATAAAGTAAATTTTATCACCTTAGGATAAAACTGTGAATCTGCAGATATGCCTTGGTATTAGACATGAGGTAACAGTAGAAGTACGCGCAAGATATGTAATGCTTGAAAATGACGAAAATGGTACATCATGTCGTAATGCTGAGAAGAAAGGAGAAGGTTTATTTGATTGTCGATCAAGATGTCGCATGGAAATGATTAGAGTAGGTTGACAAGAATCAAATAACCATAAAGAGTTATTTACTTCTCATTATGAAGCTATGAATAATTCTAACATTGCAAATTCGATGAATGTCAAATCCGTCAAAAAATAAGTTTTCCGACTAAAGAACTAAAAATAGAAAAGACCACAATGCTATTTACTTAATTTGAATATTACTATGAAATTATGTGCCATACAAATTTTAGGATATGTGTAACTGTACACCACCAACATTAAGTTATCTTGTAGTCAATACAAATGAATATGAGAAATATCCGATATGTGATTATGAGAAATGCGAAATCAAGTAAGCTTTGATAAATATGTGAAAGAAATGTGAGAAATTTCCGAACAAATTATGAAGAAATTAAGAATTATAAACAAAATAAAAATCAATAACCATGAAAATTTGTGCATAATCTCTATAATTTAAAATTTGTTATTTACAAAAATGTAAAATAAGTGATATCTAAAAATGTACAACAAGTAATATTAGGCAATATCAAAAAAGTTTTTTCAGTATATCGAACAGAACGTATTCAGATCAGAAATGTACGCGAAAATGTCATCGTTTTTGTGACCAAATTACCTATGATGTAAGTCATGTACAACATGGAAAAATGTTCCGTCAAAGTAAGTCACAAATTCTCTCTCTCAAAACAAAATAAATCAACTTAATTCTCAGTGAAAGAAAAACTATTCGTAAATTAAAGAATAGAAAAAATGTTTTAAATAAAATGTTTCTAACAAAAAGATTAGAAATAACCAACAGTTAGCTCAAATTCTATATGGTTTTTCAGATTTAACAGTAATTAATCTAAACTGGGGTTCGTTTGAATATCTAACTCTGAGACAATATTGGGTTTGGTCAATGCCAACATTCATAGCAGCGCTTGGTGGTTCAATGGGCGCATGGCTCGGACTATCAATTCTCAGTTTAATACAAGTAAATTTCCATGGTTACCAATCAGTTGCAAATAATCTTACCATCATTCTTACACCTTATAATAAATTACAATACTATGTAAATAAATTTACTAATACTTGGTTTTGATGAGATATTTTTTAATCTCATTAAGGGTGGCACTTACCTATATGCTTTTCTCACAACAACAATCAAAAAGAAGCATTTACTGCAAAAAAATATGCATAGAAGCAGGACCACCACTTCGTATAATGAAGAGGTACTCTGTTGATAACTGGCAATTTAATCTTTCTCTTTTTAAAAATACAGTTATTAAGATTAAAAAATTATAACCTAAATAATACAACACTGTTTCTTAATTTCATTCATTTTCTAGCCTTCAATCATTGTTGAGTCAATAATACTAAGCATTTTTCTCACCTACACCCATATACAGATTTTTCCAAATATTTAGAAGTACTAGCTTAAAGTGCATCATGATCACAAAATATATCCAGTTGATTTCTGAATATCTTCAAATAATAATTTTATAACTAGTTTAAAAAATATGAAATCAAAAAATTTTTAAACGTTAATTTATTAGCTCAAAATTGCAAGACTTTCAACATTAGAAAAAATAACTAGCTATATTCCATGTAAAAAAGCTAAATTTTTACCACATTTGTTTGAAAGCCTAAGACAATTAAATCAAGAACGGTTAAAAATGCAAAACTGGTTACCCTAGATTCATCTCACATAAAAACGGGTGTATTGTAATTTCTATCCAGATCAACTTATTTCACGACAAGCTATGTTTATGGACTTTGAAACTCTTTTTTTCTCAAACTGGAACACCTTACATAGATATGTTTTTGATTCTTAATTCATTTATAATATTAGCTTGTAATAAAAATTTATTTTGCTACTTCGAACCAGCACTTTAAAAATATTTTTACTTTTAAATTTATGAAAGTAAAACAACCTTTGAGCAGTAAATGAACGATCCAAGGAGTTGTACTTTGCATCTTCTTCTGTACTACTCAAAGTCGACTGATTTCCAAAAGCAAAAGCTAAAAAACAAAAACATAATAACTACTATAGTCATACCCTTATCTACAATTCAGAACTAACCTTAACATTATAAAATTACAGAAATTACATGACAATTTACGAACCATATTTCTTTCGAGAGAAGACATCTATTCAATTTCTTCTGAAATAAAATGTATAATCATACCAATAGTAGAGTGAAATTTTCGAATATGAGCTTCATAATCATGGTCAGAAACACCTTCTAGTGGTAGTGTTTGACAAACACCATTTGGTCCATATCTCAAAAGACATGAGTAAGTAGAAATACTCATTTACAAAATACATAATTATTATTAATTTAAAATAGAAGTGATAAATTACGAAATGCTGTGTTATTATTGTATTGTGGTAACTTCACGTTTGGTTTTATAAAAACTTCAGAAAAGCATACCGACAAATAAATGATCCACCTTCCCTGGTACTGTGTAATGCTCGCAAATGCTGTGCAAATTCAAAACGATTAGATAGTTTCTTCATGTCATGGTTACACAAATCACAATACCGAGGGTAGTCAACCACGTACTGATGTACACCGCTATTCTTCTTATGCTTTACATCCGCAATTGGCGTTAGATTCATCAAACCGTAAAATTCAAATTCTTTATCAAAATTCGATGACTTGCTTGAAGAGAGCAGAAATTAAATTTTTATAACAAAAGTATCATTATAAATACAGTAGTAATAATTATTTTCGTAATCAACACACATAGTTGTGTAGTCCTGAAATAAAATAACGCAAAATTTGCTATCAGCTCTAATATCCCTATTAATATATAAATAAGCAACTGAAATAGTATCAGATTTGTGACAACAACCAGCTCTTACTTACCAGAGTATAATAATAAATTTAATATAAAACAATATCATCAAATTTTCAAAAAAGAAAACGAGTAACGAAAGAGCTTTAATAAATAACTTTGTAGTCACTGATGCTTCATAATTTGTGTTCGAAATCAAAATTGACGTAAAGGCTTTCATGTTATTACTTGAGAATTGATATGGAAGTTACTAGCTCTGAAGCTCAGAGGGAATATTTGCGTGAAGCAGACTGGTGGCTACAGTACCAAACTGTACAAAATTTGATATTATCACGTATTTGTAACATTTAGCCAAATTCATAATTATTTTTTTCTTTTTTGACTCAAAGCGTCGTCCTCTTTCAAATAAAACATTGTCACCAATTGTTTGATGTAAATATTATGAAAGTAATTTTGGAAAATTTTACGCAATGCGAGATTACCACACAGACGTAATAACTGCGCTTTACTTTCTTCAGAGCGTAGGATGTAATCATTTCAGATGGTATACTTTTATTTCCATTTAGCACACTTTATGACTGTAGAAGCAAATTTCAGAAATATTGTGCTGTTATTAGAGTTGACTTTGGATTCCATCAGTCTTTTTTGTATCATATTGCTTCGATGACTTACTTACTTAAAAACGTCAGTTATTAACTATGTGGAGATTGTAAATCATCAAAAATTTAAGTGTAAATGCATATTATGTGAATCAGCAAATAATTTTATCACTTACTATACGGTCAAAAATAATCTTGTACAGGCATTATGAATTTGCTTTTTCAACTTATCAGTGCTTATCAAAATTTAATTCCCGGCCTCACCCTCTATTGAAAATATTTTGATTACTGTTCTGATTAGTGACTATTATCAAACAAACCACAGGATCTCGTCAACCACACTTTGTATACTTGAAAATTGTAGAATTAAAATCATCTTTGATGATAGATACTTTGCTTCAAAATTGAAAAGTTGTTTGAAACTAAAACTAATAGTTTTTTAATTTGTGAACTTTTAGCATTCATTACTTTAGTGTGTTTCTAAATGTTGCGCTGAATAATAAAGTTTTTATTCTTAGGGAGTGAAGTGAATGCATCTTTTTTCAGCCTCGTCTGTTTACTTAAGTAGTCTCACGTAAAAGGCGTGTGCTGTGTAAATAAATAGTAAAAGTATTGTGAACAATTGTTGTAGTTAAAGCATAAAATGTACAATAAAAAAATTGCGTTTATGGCAGTGCAGTCATTTCAATAATTTGATAAATATATGCTAAACAAATTCTTTTACACGGAGAGCTAAACAAAATTTTAGAATTATTGCTCACATTGGATACTCTGTGCAAGAAAATGTGAGCAGAATGAATACAATAGTGAAATTTTGGTATAGCAATGAATGTTATTAATAAAAATTGATATAATTCAAAATTAAACAATTTTGGTGATCGTTTCTTGACCGTTTATTAAACATTTGCAGTTTATTTACATTAGAAAATAAAAGTAGCTTCAGTGCTAATAAATGGTATCACTTCAGAAGCTGAATTATTCCTTTTTTTTCTCAATATCAATTCAGAAAATGATATCTGAAAGGTATTCGATGTGGGTCTTTGACTAATAAATACATTGCAAGGAAATACTAAAACTACACTACTTCTGAAAGTTGAAAGCAAATGTCACCTTTTGGAAGGTTAAAACTTGAATTCGCTCAATGAGATTCTGAAGAGAAGCAATAACAGAGATTGTTGAATTGAACGAATTAAAGCTTTATCATCACGCCTTTCTATTAAAAATATAAATGCATTTTTCTTTATTCCGGATGGCACAATATTGAATTTAGCCTCCTTTTGAATGGATCTGAATCGCATGATTAACAAAATAATAACTAAACAAATTATCAAGTGTATTCACAGAACGTTCATTCTATCAAAGCATATTTGTATGTAATATATTCTATGTGTCTAAATAATTATTTCAATCAACTGCGATTATCATTAACAATAAGCAAATGAATTTGAGCGCAAAAAGTCTTATAATATTATTCTATCAATTCAAATGTGAAGTGGCTTCAGGAAAAAACAGAAAACAAAAAGAATTCCAACTTCAAAGCATACAAAAATTTTCTTTCGCTCGCAAGCAAAATTCAATTCCGTGTCAAGTAAATCAATTCGAATTACAAATAATTGATAGTTAATAGCAAAGACAGTTTTTAATTTTTGTAATTCATGCACTAAAATACGATAGAGAAGAAATAATGAACAAATCCAGGCTTCTTAATTGAGTGGTATCATAACATTCATTCATTATACTGAAGACTCATTATTTTTTGCCCTTATGGATATTAAATCCGATTTATGAGTCTATCAAGACAGATAGAGCATTCTCAAACTATCAGTGGGATAACATACTGTCCGTCACATTTCTACGTATTTTCATTTCCTTTGTGTAAAATAGTAAAATCATCACTTCATTTCTATTGTCAGTCGAGAGACTAAAAAATTATAAAAAGCTGCAAATTCTTCGCATTTGCGGTGAATTAAGTTATTCTTCACAATGAACTTTCGTACTTCATTTAATAAGCCTGATGTTAAGTAAAACTCTCAGTAATTTAAGGTTATATAGACAGTAAATCAATTCAGTCTATGTACTTGCTATGCAATAAAAACTCAGTGTATACTTAAAAGACAGAAGTATTCTTGGACTGCAATTTTTGTAAAGGTTTTTCTTACTTGGGCAGGCTAGAATTTATTAATGATAATGTTTATTTGTAATTTGTACTACCACTTTGAGATGTAAGTAAAGGCGTAACTTAGTAAAGCATACCATTAAAAACTTTACGGCTTGCTTTATTGCACGGAAGCTTAACAATTCGAAAACAATAAAAGCACAAGACTGATAACTAAATGTCAGTATAATGTGAAACTAAACTGTACTCTCCGTACGTTCACTAATTTGGGAGAGGAGATAAAGGTGCCATATACTGATACTAGAGTGCCTCACAGTTCATAGGGACGCACAGCAACAAATGCAAAATGCATATATCATTTCAAAAATTCAAAAACTCAAAAATCTGGAAAAAAATCAAAAAATGATGGAGATATTGGGATTATGAGGAAAAAATGATGTAATCACTTCTAAAAATTTAATAAAAAATAAATAAAATTGCTAATTCCATTTGTGACCAAAATGTCCTAACCGACTTTTATTATGAGCAGTTAAGTATAAATTTTAGACAAAAAATTATACAAACATGACCTGGCAAAAAAATCAAGTTTGAAAGTGTGAAAAAAACCAACAAAAATTATTCAAACTTCATATATCATTATTTAGTTAGAAGAAAACAGCGGAAAGAATGCTACAGAAATCTTTGCCTTTTACTTTGCCATTAAGAGTAATACTTGAAGAGTTGATTATTTTATTCGATTTTCAAATAAAATGGAACCAGTGAGCTTCAGTAGAGCACGTTTGATTCAATATGCTGCATTATATCAGTGGATCAATGATTGGGTTATATTATGTTTTATGTAATTTAAGATTAAATTTTATTTTCCATCAATCATTTTGTATATTTTAAATAATATAAGTAGTATGAATGATTAATCGGTTCTTAGAATGCACTGAAAGAGATGTTCATAATATGAAACTTGCCTTCCAGAATTAATCATCTTGTCCTTGAAAAAACTTTGCTGCCTTATCTTACAAGAATCAAAAGAACCGTTGTAGTGAGCAAACAAAAAATAAAAAATTCATCATTTCTGTCATAACATCCAATATATAAGCAAGCAGCTTTATGAGTTACAAAAGTCAGGTGATAAAAGTTCTCAAAGACTCTCTCGGGTTCAATTCAGTCACCAAAAATGCTCCTAGAGATTCAGACAATTTCAGTCATTGCAGGTAACAATCAGATTTTCTAATTTAGAATTTGAACCTCAAATCAGTATATCATTCGAAGCAATAATTTTTTTTATAATTAAATAACACTGATGTCATTGTGCAATTCTATAACGTGCCTTAATGAATTTTTGAACAGACTGATAAAATCAAGTAAACAAAGTAATCATAAAGCAATGTTTTTACGAAAATAATATGATTAAATTCATGATAGTGATAATAATAATACTGCTATTACTACTGATAATAATGACGATAAAAGTAATAAGAAAATAATAGTGAGCAATTAGACAATATATCAAGCAGTGTATAAAATGAGTTAGCATGGCACCCATATAATATTCCAGTTTCTTCTTCACTGAGAGACTTTCAAAATATTCTTAGCTAGGAGAAACAAACTGAGATCACGCTCAGATTATAATAAACAATAACGTAGAGAAGTACACAGAGCAAGCAATGTAAGAACGCAAATATAGAATTTCTTATTTCAGGACTGTTAACAGCGAGCATGGCGAACAAGGTTGGTGGAACACATGGAAGTAATATCCGGAGTTTGCGAATGAGTCGACACATGAAGACTTACAGTTGGTATCTTTATAACGCAAAAAAAACCACAAAATAATTAAATCTCTGACTCAATGTAGTTGTAGCTACTCTGGTCTGCTATGGACATGAATAACTTTTATTCAGTCAATAATAACTTTAATTCAGTCCTTTCATTTTTGACAATCATGTAAAATGCTTAATGAAAATTGGCTTCAAATTTTAGATCTTTGAAAATATCTGAAGCAGACACTGTTAGAAAATATAATGGTAAAGTCACATTACTATAATTCTAAATTAGGAACTAGAAAATAATATTGCAAAAAAAATGCAAGTGCAAAACACAAATAGTATCTCTGGAATGTGTACATAAAATTGTGCTAGAAGAAGCACCCTGCATAACGAAAATCGAGATGTGACAAGGAAAGTTATGTCAGAATTCCAGACTCAGCCAACAAAGCAACTAAATTGGAGAAGTTGGACGAAAAAACGACGGACAGAACAATACATAGCCAAGATGTACCACATGAATGGCACCGAGCCAGATATCGTGATTCACCGCCGACATTAGGCATAGCAAACAGCACTTCGAACTCAATTGCTACCACAACTGCATCTCCAACAAGTCCTACTTCCATAACAACATCGACCTCGTCTACAAATCCATCCACAACGACGGGAACAACTTCGGCGCCGTCACCCACAACATCTTCTGCTGCAGAAACTACTACTACAACTGCATCTTCAACAAGTCGTACTTCCATAACAACATCGACCTCGTCTACAAATCCATCCACAACGACGGGAACAACTTCGGCGCCGTCACCCAGTACATCGTCTAGTGCAGAAACCACGACAACTTCCACCTCTTCAACAAGTCCTACTTCTATACTAACATCGACATCGTCTACAACCCCATCTACAACGACAGGTACTACTTCGGTGCCGTCACCCACAACATCTTCTACTGCAGAAACT